ACAGTATTTGACGCTTCTATTTAATTGACTTTTTAAAACTCAGATGTAACCGCAGTATTTGACGCTTCTATTTGACTCTCAGATATGAAGTGCACCCCATGATGTAGTAGTTTGCAGAATTCTTTCCTAAGCTGTCCCTCACAGATGCAGCATCCTCTCCCTACACTAATAAGACCTCATGTGTGTGCGGCACTATGCAACTTATGCGGCGCTACGTAGCTTATATATAGAGGCTGGGTCACATGCTGCACTGGCCAATCACAGCCATGCTATTAGTAGGCATGGCTGTGATGGCTTCTAAGGGCACACGAGTCAAACGCTTGCTGATTGGCTGCCCTGCAGCCTTTCAAAACGCGCCATTAAATCGGCAAACACCGAACTCCAACCCGAACATACAGTGATATGTCCGTGTTCGGGTCCGGTGTCCAAAAATCGTAATGTTCGGTACGAACACGAACTTTACAGTCTAAGTTCGCTCAACTCTACTGGTGAACTAAAACTTTAACTTGGTTCGTGGGATCTGAGCTCTATTCGACTATATTGTGCGCTCAGATCCAAGCTATCTGGGGGTATGTTGAACATGGGGAGTCCATTTGGTGAAATATGAGTTATTGATTTTAATACATTGTTGTTAAAATGTAAAAAGAAAATGTTTCTCTCTACCTGGAGATAATTAGGTTACTCCAACCCCTTAAGCCAATTATCTCCAGGATAGAGAGGAAGGGTTTTACTGTTGGTGTGGGTGTGTTTATTAATTGTACTGTAAACTGATTGGTTCTGTAATCTTTTTCACAGTCGTCCACAAGGTCCCCTGTGGGTGTACCCTTGCTGGAAGATCTGCATAAAAGGCCGAGTGTGCCCAGCATAAAACCAGATCGTTTACCCCTTCATGAAGTCTCGACTCATGTTTGGGGAATTGGGAGCTGTAATTACTACTTTGCTTCTATTCAGCTGGGATTTCAGGAGAAGCTGCAAGGATCGGTCTTACAGGGATAACACAATCCTTTACACAGCAGTGGGATGGCGTTCTAGTGTGAGGAGAAGCAGCTCGGAGACACCGGTAATGTGTGGAGTTACAAATTGAGGGCAACGCTAGTATCCACACAGCTACAGCAGGATGGAATCGGCTAGTTTTCGGACAGCGTTCCATGGCAGGTAGAGATGGGACCAAGGTCTCTCCACCAGCCCTACAGAGATGCTGGGCAGCAGGCCCAGATCCCCAAATACAGCCAGCATTAGCGCGAGTCGAGACAGTCGGTCTGGCTCCCCAGCAGCAGTGTGTAGTAAAGAGAGAAGAGACAACCGGTCTCTCTCCCCAACAGCCCGGCGTGCTATTGGGAGTGGAGACAACCGGTCTCACTCCCCAGCAGCAGTGCGAACCCCAGGGAGCTGAAGGTGTCGTCCTTCCTCCCTAGCGGCAGTGCGAATCCCAGGCAGCTGAAGGTGTCGTGCTTCCTCCCCAGCATCAGTGTGTACCCTTGGGAGAAGAGACAATCAGTCTCTCTCACCAGCAGCAAGGCAACATTATAGGAGTGGAGACAGTCGGTCTCTCTCCCCAGCAACCAAGTGTGTTACAGGAAGAGTAGTGTGTCGTCCTTCCTCCCCAGCGGCAGTATGTTTCCCAGGGAGCTGAAGGTGTTGTCCTTCCTCCCCAGTGACAGTGTGTACTTTTGGGAGAAGAGACAGTTGGTCTCTCTCCCCAGCAGCATGACAATTTATTGGGAGTGGAGACAGTCGTTCTCCCTCCCCAGCAGCCGCATGTTCTTCAGGGAGAGGAACATATCGCCCTCTCTCCCCAGTGACAGTTTACCATACAAAGGGGAGACACTAATCTCCCAGAAGGTGCAGGTCTCTGTGACCGACCTGCAGGGATGCTGGACAGCCTGTCCAGATCCCCAACTACCCTTGCAGGGATACCAGGAGGAGGGGGTAAGTACTATTTCCCCTCCTAAACCAAGGCCTAACCCAGCTGCCCAGCAGAAGCGCTGACCTCGGGGCAAAGACTAACTCCACAGATGGTCAGGTACCTGGTTAGTCTACCCACCAAAGGGGAGATATGTGGCGAAAGCGACCTCGCCACTGGTTTATGGAGGGGCCTGTTTGCCCGCCTCCTACCTTCTGACTATGGCCCCTGGGAGATTGTACCCTTTAACAACAGTCTTGGGGCTTATAAACTTCTATTGGACCGTGCTGGCCCTTTAAGAACTGTCTGGGAACATATTGAGACTTTGTGTGACAATGCCCCTTTAAGACTATGTCCCCAGACCTTTAAAATCCTTGGTGCATGGCTTTCTCTTAAATGGGGCTTACTGAACCAAGTGCTACACAGGCGGACCACCCAGAAGTGGAAGTGTGCAGGCAATTTACCTCCCAGGCTGAGAGGCTGCGGTAGGCAAATTACCGACTGCTGGGTGACCGCCGTTCTTTATTCATTCGCACGCGGTCAGCAGTGTATGCAGCCAAATTCATGGAAATGAAATCGGCTGCACATTTCAACAAACACCAATGACCCTTACCTTCTCCTCCACTGAGTTTTCAGCCACAGAGACTAAATCCCGTTCGGCTATTTGAACACAGCTATACTAAGCTATTGGCACGAACGGCCTCGTTCGTGCATTCAAATGGGACTTAGACATTTTTCAGTGTGAAATAGACCGACCGCACAAAGGACTTCCGTTTAACTTTTTATCTACTGGAGGGATTTGTATGATTTTTGAGAGTGTTCATATTTGAAGTATGCTGAATAAGAATATGAAGATTGAATGTATAGTTTTAAAGTTACAGTATATGTGTAAAAAGCATATTTTTCCTGCTTGTGATAATTACTTTAACCCATTGTGTACAGTAATTATATCACAGAGAGAGGGGAGGAGTTTGTGGGAATGAATGGGAATGTTTTACTATATATTACGTGTTTGATTGGTTGTTCTACAAAACCCTGTAAAATGTGCATAAAAGCAGAGTGTTTCATTAAAACTTCAGTTCTACTTCACCCTCAATTTGGAGAGCCGTCTCTTATTGGGGGAATCTGCTACAAGGGGTTGCTATGCTAGTCATACTCTCTTGCTATATCACTATTAAGCTCTTGTAAGAGCTTGTTCCTGTCTTGCTCTCTGAAGGAGTCTACGGTGGTTATGGTGTCGGCTGGAGTGCTTGGAGCCCTCAGGAAGTGCTTGAAGGAATTGAAACAGTTAATCTGTTAGTATTGTATAAGTTGAATTATTTTGTAAATGTAGTAGCAAGCTCTTTTGCAGAACTGCTTACAAAACATAACTGAAAGGAAGTCAGAAGCTATAACAGTTTCTATGTAACAGGATGCCTTAACAGCAGAAACTACTTCCTCTTTTATGTATCTTGTGTAACATTCTGTAACCAATGTTCGTGACAAATATTGTATAAGTACAGAGCATTTTGAATACATTGTCAGAAGACTTTTGGGAAGCAATCTTGTGTCTGTCTCGTTATTCTGCTTCTATAACTCTTCCCTGAGCTCAGGTGACAATCGAGGGTTGGAGAACCATGACCAGAAGGGATCAAGTCTTCAGTTTAGCCTTTCAGCTTGGTGTCAGAAAGTGGGATCTAGGGATCTAGCTGACCATTGGCGGTAAGTAGTAATTCTCTGTGTCTTTTTAGATGCCTTGAATCTATAACCCCCATGGTTTTGTAAGTCTAGATCATTTTAGGAACGGTTATAGTTATATGTGTATTTTATATGACTCAGTCTCTATAAGATCCCGTGAATTTAGTCTAGTAAGAGAACTAGACAGAGATATATGTATTTCTAGTAAGTGAACTAGATAAGATCTAATAAGAGAATTAGACAGATAAAAAGGAAGTCTATAAAGTGATATAGACAGAGAATTTAGTATATAAGTGAATATACTAGGATAAAAGAAAAAGTGTACACAGACAAATAGGTTCACCTTGTCCACCCTCTAATTGTCATTAGTTAAGTCTGGTGGTGGTTGTGAGTGTGAATAAGTGTTTGAAAGATTTGTCCTAGGAATGGGAAATAACCATGTAAGAATATGAAGTAGTTAACTTTTCTTGTTCATATGTATTTTATGCTTAGATAAGGTTTATAATAATTAGTGCTGACTGTAAGGATATGAAATAGTTAAACTCTTTTTGCTTTATATGCAAGCCCTGAAAATATACTCACTGACAATTTTGTTAAAGCACATTTGTGGTGTCCGTGTCTTTATTGCTAACAATGATTCTCCATCAATTGGGTGATTGTCTATATTGGGGACACACTTTGGTAAGTTAGTAGTGTGTCCACCCTGAGTCAGCAGTATGGGAAATGTGAGGTCAGGTCCTGAGTGACATATAGTGACAATATATACGTATATTAGAAAAGAACTGACCCGCAGGTTGTACCTGATAAACCTACTTAAATCTTTTTCTTTATTCTTTCTGTCTCATAGAAGTATAGTTTATTACTCTGTTTTAATGGAAGTTATTTCACATGAGATCTGTGTGCCTGGCAGGCCCGGACTGGCCATCGGGCACACCGGGCAAATGCCCGGTGGGCCGCGGTGGCCATGGGGCCGAGGCCGGCAGGGAGATCACATGATCTCTCCTGCCGGTCTTTGCAGGGCCGGCGCTATCTGAACGCCGGCCCTGCAGTAGTCTCCAGCGGGCCGGTGGGGAGATCAGAGATCTCCCTCACCGGCCCACATGCAGGATAGTGTGGCCGCCGGGGGAGAGAGGGAGGGAGCCAGCCTGCCAGCAGAGGAACCCGGCGGAGCTTTAACTAACAGCTCCGCCGGGTTCCTCTCGCGAGATTCGGAGCGTTGCCATGGCAACGCTCCGGGTCTCGCGAGAGTGAACTCTAGCCTCATAGGCTAGAGTTCACTCACCACTAAGACCACCAGGGATGGATTGCAGCCCCAGCAGCAGGATCCCCCTCCAAGGCTAAAGGTAAGCAAGGAGGGGGGAAATAATCACCTAACTAACATCAGCCTCACAGACACCCAAAACACTCACAGCACCCTCATTCACACACACACACACTGCACCCCTGACACTCACACACACACACACTGCACCCCTGACACTCACACACACACACACTGAACCCCTGACACTCACACACACACACACTGCACCCCTGACACTCACACACACACACTGCACCCCTGACACTCACACACACACACACACTGCACCCCTGACACTCACACACACACACTGCACCCCTGACACTCACACACACACACAACCCCTGACACTCACACACACACACACCGCAACCCCTGACACCTCACAGCACACACACACACACCAAAACACTGACACCTCACAGCACACACACACAAACACACCGCACCTGACACCACAGCACACACACACAAACACACACACACACCGCAACTGACACTCACAGCACACACACACACACTGCACCCGACACTCACAGCACACACACACACACACACTGCACCCCTGCACTCACCCACACACTGACACACTCACAGCACACACACACACACACACACACACACACACACACACCCCTGACACTCATAGCACACACACACACACTGCACCCCTGACACTCACAGCACCCTCACTCCACACACACACACACACACACTGCACCCCTGACACTCACAGCACCCTCACTCACACACACACTGCACCCCTGAGACTCACAGCACACACACACTGCACCCACCCACACACACACACACACACTGCACCCCTGACATGCACAGCACCCTCACTCACACACACTGCACCCCTGACACAGCACACACACACTGCACCCACACACACACTCACATCACCCTCACTCACACACACACATTGCACACCTAACACTTACAGCACCCTCACACACACACACTGCACCCCTAACACTTACAGCACACACACACACTGCACCCCTGACATGCACAGCACACACTCACTGCAACTCTGACACGCACAGCACACACATACTGCACCCCTAACACTTACAGTACCCACACACACACACACACTGCACCAGCTTCCTCACACACACATAGCACTCTCACGCAAACACAGCACCCAATCACACACAGCACACACACGCAAACCCACATAGCACCCTCACGCAAACACAGCACCCATCACTCACATACTACACACCTCAAACACACTGCACCCCTCTCGCACACACACTACACCCCTTACACACACACACAGCACCCTCACACACACTGCACAAATGCTTTCCTAGCATTTTTGTCTCCTGGTATCCCACCTATGGAGACACCAGAGACAAATTTCAAGCAAACACAGTGCAAGTATGTTATTGAATTTGCTTGCGTTGTGCAGAACAAATACAGGGTCCTTTTCTCATGTCAGAGCTCTTCAGCAGAGCTTTGCGCATGGTCTACCCTGGAAGAGCATTGAACCAACATGCTCACTTTGTGATGGGGCGTGCTTGTCATTGGTGATGACAAAACACACCCTATCTGGCCCCGCCCCCTTTGTAGTGGGCCGCTGTAATTAAAAAATGCCCGGGCCGAATTATCTTCCCAGTCCGGCCCTGGTGCCTGGTATGATTGTTACTTTAATACCATAAGCCCACTACACTTTCTATGAGAGTGGGATAGTGTAAATGTGTTGCATTGTTTGTATGATAAGCTCAGTATTTTTTATACTGAGACAAAAAAGTCACTTCATTAGTATTTGAAAGTTAATTCCCCATATGGGATTAATTGTATAGAACACCAATCAGCACATCTTCCCTGCCCTGTGTGTTTGTTGCAGAGGATCCATACTGTAAATATGATTTTTGTTTGTAAATAAGAGAGCAACATTTATATTTTCAGCGGTCCAACACATGCTTCATTTTGTGCTGTAAGCTAACCTTTTGTATTGCTACAGATGCGTTAAATGATCCAGTGTAGCACCTACTGCATTTGTTTTGTGTCTTCTATGTCTCACATGTTATGTGTTCTTTTAAATTGTGGTATATAGCCTGGATCAGAGATCATGGACAGAGGTTTCTACCTGTGTTACTATGGCTCTTGGAGACAGACTGGTCTAAGGTTTGCCATGCCTTTTAACATGACATAGTATACATTTTTTTTAAGTCTCTGAGAGTTCTGAAAGATTCAGGTGAAACCATGTCTGTTTAATCTGGTCCAGATGTTTGCTCAATTTCTATAAGATTTAAGTTGATGCAGTATCATCTCAGATTAGTTAATGGAAGTTTCATACAAATATTTGAGTTATGAGCGCACTATATAAATGGATCCTTTCTTTATATACAATACTATAGTAGATTAAAGTAATGAAGTTAATTTAAAAAAAAAATCTAATACAAACTAAAATTGGTATACCTTACAATAATATGTTCTGAATACAGCTCTTAACTGTTTATTCTGTGTAAATGGTGATTGTGATCATGTGTGAAGTGTGCAGCTTAACTGGAAAGTGGTTTAATTTATATGTTGTTTTAAATTATATTTGAATCAGTTTGTCTCAGTCTAGTGATACTGATAAGAATGCCAGCCAAATAACCTAGCAAATAACTGTTTTATTAGCTGTTGAATACTAGTGTTTTGGCCAAGAGTAGTTGGAGTTGGAGATGTTCTATCAGCTCAGAGAGGTTCTGTGTTGTCGTCTGATGTAGCTATATGGGAATGGATATTTGGAGGTGTTAGTTTAAGACTGCTTTCATATTGTGTCTACCCGTGTTTCCTAGGGAGTGTGTAGTTGCATGCCCATGAATGTGTTTTCTGCATTGGCATATCTGCTAGGTATCCATTATGTGTTTATACTACGTCTGTTTTGTGAGATGTCTGTTTTGTGAGATGACATGTAATATTACATTGGATGCTGAGTATGAGTTATATGGTTTGAAATGAATTGGTGTGTTATGTGTTTTATGTATTTTATTGTCCATTGTGTAGGAGTTTAACTAGCAGAGTGATTTGCATATCATTAACGCAAGCATTTAGTGTTTTTACAAAAGGTGAAATGCTGTCCAGCCGGCTAGAATGAAACAATTGTATGCTATCGCTCCTGGAGCAACAAAAGCGCTTGTTATATCCCACGTGAAAGGGGCCCCGCAAACTTCTGCTGTTCAAATCGTGGATCCACGTTTCCATTTGCAAATTTATTAATCCTGAAAGTCATTCTTTTACTGATAAAAAGGATTGAATGGACAAGATGTCTCTCCCTCATAAAGGAGTTCTAATAGGGGAGTATTGTCCAGCTCAGAGTTAACTCTACTTTTAAAGTATATTGCATTGTTTGTGTCAAAGTAAGATTCATCTAGTATGCCTCATTGATTATGGGGTAATAATAACATGGTATTTTTAATAGAGATTAGACAATTTCTGAAATTTATAAGTGAGGTAATTTTAATCTCCTAAACTACTGTATTATATGTGTATGGGTAAATTGAAAGCATTTTGCAGATCCAGAAGAGGATTAATAAATAATATAATAATCTCACTAGGTGCCAAATTATGCAAAGAGGCTATCCAAAGTACACACTAACGGGTTAAACTTGTTTTCTTGATAAGCGTATAACATTTAGTTTTGTGGTTAGACTTTTGATACTCAATTTGAAATATGTCCCAACTACATCCTTGCACGGCACCAGGTACAGGAAGCAATATGCGTTTTAAAAATTTGCAAGGTCTTAGTGTTTTCAATATATTATAACAATGGAAAAGTACCTAACCGCATGTCTGCATTACGCTCATGACACAGACTGTCAGTATTGCAAGCCCTATATGAAGGCTATGCTTTCATTGTCGATGTATATACCCCTAGACAACCTTGCTTTATATACACAATTTAACTATCCATTAAACCTTTAAAAGCTTATTAATATTATATCTGTGTGGTACACAAAGAGGGGTACACAAAGAGGGGGTGTGAGTTCGGTAATCCCGACCTGCATATGGAATATGCTTCCTCCTTGTTCACTTTTGTTCCTTGTTGGTCTGTGACTGGCCCTTTTTGACCCCTAATGAATTTCTTGGGAAGATTCATGAGAAAGATACAGCAAGTTGTTTTGATAGAAAGAAAGAAGGAAAAGGTATGTTGTATCAGTCACAAGGATTGTGATCCTAAGCAGGCGAGACAAAGAAATTTGGGAGGTGATAGGAGATTGAATCAGAAAAGTTTTAAAGGCAGAGGTAGAGGATTTGGTCAAAGGGTCTAACTTTTGTAGAGGTAGCAACTTCAGCATTGGTGGAACACACTGTTCTAATTGTGGATAGCAGGGTCACTGGAAAAATGAGTGCCCAAACCCACCCCCACAGATTCCTCAATACCAACCATAGCTTCCAACCTATACCCACACCCAACAACCCCAGCCTAATACACAGATGGTTCATGTTTTTAATATTTTATATAGTTTTAGGTGTTAATCCAAGAGTATTGAATTATTCAGGATTATTAAAGTAATTAATTTTGAGTATCAAATCAAGGTTCAAGTTTAGGAACAGAGTTTTATTGGGAATTATCCCCATATGAATATGTTAGTGTTTTAATATTCATCGTAACAAGCATTTCTATAGAGTGAGTGCTTCTCTCATCCGTACAAAGGCATTCCAAAGGGGTATTATGTAAAACTTCATAGAAGACAGATTGCATAAAATATAAGCAAATATAAGAGAAGTACATGTTACACAAATTAAGGGTTTAATCTTAATCTCTAATTTAAGTTTTAGCCTAGGTAATTCATTAATTGATGTTGTATTGATCCATGTGTTTGTATGATTGTAGAGACCGTCCTGGAGTGTTTATGCCGCCTGATTTCTGGGACTACACACCAATCTCTCTGGCTGACCATGCAATAAGTATTTTGCAATTACATCTGTTTGGTCATTATCCACGCAGGCCAAGGAAACTGAGATACTTATTTATGAGGACATAAACTTTGCATGCAAGAACCTAAAAGGTCCTGAAGGTGCAGTACTGTCTAATACCGCTGGTTCTGTAATAACCCTTTCAACCATTGGGGTGTTGCACAGAGCATTGTGGTGAAAATCCAGCAAACAAAAGAAGAACTATGTGGAAGCTGACATTGTCTTGTTGTCAGCCATATGCTACCCTTAGCCATTTTATGGAACAAAATGTCTGGTGTCTAAACTGCTTTCTTTGTACTCTGTGAAAGACTTATTCTATTTTTCTGAACTATGCTGAACTATTGAACTATTTTTATTTTTATTTTTGTAGGGTTAGCTGGAGAGAGAGGAAGTGTTAGCTGACTCAGGGATGGATGTACTATGTGTGTTTTTGATATATGATGAGTGTGCCAAGGATGGATTCCCATGTTTTGAGGAACTGCGTGAGGATATGACTGGTTTTGACTGGACCTTTGGAATAGGGAAATGGTTAAAAGATATAGGACGCAAGGTCCTGATTGTGATTATTGTCAGAATTTCAAGCTAGACTATAATTTAATTAATATGTAAGAAGTGTTTCCCAATTCCTCCCGATACCCGAGCTATGTACTCACAGGTGCGGGTATTATAAGTCATAAGTGGTGTCAACTGTGAGGGGATAACATGTCTAACACGATCGCGGTCCCCACTCAGGTTTTCCCCAGATGTGCTTTTTCCTCAAATATGAGTTTTTGCCACTTGGTTTTTGCCTGGCCCCAGATCATCGGGTGGTCTGGTAATCCTAGACCTCGGTCCTTGGACGGGGGATAGGTATTATTCCCACTTTGACTATATGCGCCCACTTCCGTGGACAAAGGAGGAAAACAACTGTTGGGAATAATATACTTTGCCCATATTTACCTAGGGCTTATGGTACAGATGACTGGCTGGTTAGTCTGTTTAAAATTGCATAACATGTCAGCTATTTGCAATAATTATTGTTATAGTTCTGGTCCTTGCTCTACTTGTTTATGCTATTTTTAAGATTATTGTATTCTCCATTTACAAACATACACGCAATACTGTTCCTGCAAAATCCCCAGCTTGCTATGATGAATATCTCCAAATGTATACATATAACTAACGCAATGGTAAACATGCTGATACATATCTATAAGTTTATGGTACTGGTCGAATGCCTAGTCTTATGCTATGGGAATAGTGGCCGAAGACATAATGAAAGACCTGCAGGACTGGCTAGCAATCCTGAATATACCATGGCAGATGGCTAGTTGTCAGACCAGGACTCCTTAAATAGGGTATGAGCAAAATATTGCTCAAAGAGGGAAAAATGAAGGAATTTCAACAGTTAATCGCTTACAAAACATAACTGAAAGGAAGTCAGAAGCTATAACAGTTTCTATGTAACAGGATGCCTTAACAGCAGAAACTACTTCCTCTTTTATGTATCTTGTGTAACATTCTGTAACCAATGTTCGTGACAAATATTGTATAAGTACAGTACATTTTGAATACATTGTCAGAAGACTTTTGGGAAGCAATCTTGTGTCTGTCTCGTTATTCTGCTTCCATAACTCTTCCCTGAGCTCAGGTGACAATCGAGGGTTGGAGAACCGTAACCAGAAGGGATCGAGGCATCAGTTTATCCTTTCAGTGCTAGGAGCATCCTTCAACTCTTCCCTGAGCTCAGGTGACAATCGAGGGTTGGAGAACCGTAACCAGAAGGGATTGAGGCATCAGTTTAGCTTTTCAGCGCTAGGAGCATCCTTCAACGGAGGTACCCAGTCGGGGTGCCAGGTGATCCGTTACATTTACATATTTAAGTTGATAATGGACTATTTTATTTTCTGGTGAGTTAAATTCCACTTGCTTCCCCCATCATACATTTTATCATTGTGCTTTAATGTAGATGAAGAATACAGGTGACTGTTACTTTTGAAATTATTTACTTTATCTGTGTGACCCTGATAATTGTTAGTATGTTGAATTCCACTAACTAGTGTTCCAGGAAACCATTTATTTGCTGTTGAGGCTACAATTGAAAACATTGATCTTTATATTGTCACAAAAGCAGCTGCGGCACCATATTAATAACTTATGGAGCCAGGTGCATAAGTACAAATGCCAACAGCAGGCATTATGCAGACTCAATACAAGTGATGTAACACTGGATTTGTGTATCGTGGATAGATGTATCTACTACTCGAGGGATATGCTCATTATCAAGCTTACTCTTACTAAATGTTAAATCACTTTTCTCCATAAATGGGAAGATACTACACAATTTTACATTATTTTAAAATGCAAGAAGCAGTCAAAACATGTTTTTAAATATTTAATCTTTTAGTATATTGTTTGTATGTGTAAATATATTGAAGAATGACTTAATTTTTAATCATCAAGAAAGAAGTGGGTATCAGTTTCTATAGCAATATTTCAATCTTGGTGAAGTACGGAAAGTAAAGTACTTCTGTCATGCATAAGTGACATGGTGGAATTTAAAAGGTAATAAAAGTTAGTCTTTAGAGTAGGCCTGCCAAATTGTTCTCAAATGTGTAGATTAGATATTTCAAGGTTAAAATTGGATCTGATATAACCTACAAACAGTAGGGGTATGTATATTCCAACAAAGTCCAATTTTCCCAAGCATTGTGATATACTGCATTTTGTAATTTGGAAGCTTATAGTTAGGTGTAAAACAGTAGGCAAACATAAGGAAATAATATCCATAATTTTTCTGTCATGTAAGGAATAAAGTGTAATATTTTCATGAATAATTGCTATCCTTGTGATCTCAAGTATTACTTAACAAATAAAAATAAAGTTAATTCCTGTTAGATCTGGTAATTTCTTTATATTCTAAGGAAGAAACAAATGCACTAGAGTGAAGCTTAATGAATGATGGTTTTGGCAAAAATATGTCTCTGAAATCTATTAAAGATTTTTTTAAACATTGTATTAAAAAAAAAATATATATATATATATATATATATATATATACTTTAGAACAGGGGTGCATAAAGAGCAGGGGTCCCCAAATGGTAGATTCCCAGATGTTGTAGAACTACAAACCCCATGACATTTTGCATGCCTTTCATGCCTTTAGAATACCTTTAGAATTACAAAGCATCCTGTAAGCTGTAGTTTTAAAACATCCGGGGATCAACCTTTTCGGCACCCCTGCTCTAGAATAATAAGTACCTCTTTATGTTGTGTGTGTGTGTGTGTGTGTGTGTATATATATATATATGTGTGTGTGTATATATATATATATATATATATATATATATCTCCAAAAAAGTTATCGTGGGGAAAAATTGTAATTCCACCTGAAGTCAGTGGATAGTCAATATATTGTTAAACATACATCTGCACATCGGTCAAGCCATAAGACTTGCTTTTTCCACAGAAATCTACAATTTGAAATGATATTACTACTGCATGGGTTGCATCCCTGCAAATTGTATATATCTACATACACTCTGGACCAGGGGTAGACAACCTTTTAATACCTACAGCCAGGGCCGGTGCAAGGATTTTTGCCACCCTAGGCAAAAGTAAAGTTTGACGCCCCCCTCCCCCCCCCGCGTGACATCGCAATGCCCCACCCATATGACCTGCCATGTTAACTAACGCCAGTGCTGCAGTGCCGCTGTGTTTACATTAAAAGGCCTGCAGGGACCGGCTATAGACACCAGGACCACTACATTATTAGGTGCAGTGGTTCTGGGGACTATAGTGTTTCTTTAATGTGAGGTAAATTAGAGATTAGTGCCACGAATAATATACTAGATTACCTACTTACAAGCAGATGAGGGATGATGATGGGCTCTAGCTGCAGTCTGGCTCCACTGGTCTGGTGTATAACAGGATCTCTGGAGGCTGTTTGTAACTGTGGTCACACAAATCAATGTTCTGGGAGAACGAGAAGCAGCTCCATTTTTTGGGGGCCCTTTACACAGCTCAAGGTCTGGGTCCCAGGGTCCACCTTCATTTTCCACCAATGGGTTTGTTCACAGGGGATGGAGTGTGTAGGGAATGTCCTGATTTGTGTGTAAGGAATGCATTGTGTGAATCTGTGTTTGTATGTGTAAGGGCTGCAAGGTGTGTTTCTGTGTATGTAAGGGATGAAGTGTGTGAGTCTGTAAGGGGTGCTTTGAGTGTGTTTAAGGGGTGCATTGAGTGTGTGTAAGGAATGCATTGTGTGTTTCTGTGTGTGTAAGGGATGCATTGTGTGTAAGGCTTGCATTGGGTGTGTGTAATGCATTGTGTGTTTTTCTGTGTGTAAGGGGTTCATTGTCTTTGTGTGTAAGGGGTGCATTGTGTGTGTGTGTG